ACACACGCCTAGTCCTATAGTTTATTATATATCAAATTTGTATCACTTATGTTACTTGTATATTTGTCAACCAAGTAACCTATTCCCGAATTATGTACATTTTCAGCCTTCCGGCAGCCATGCTCTTTCAACACACACACACACACACACACACACGCCTAGTCCTATAGTTTATTATATATCAAATTTGCTATCCCTTATGTTGCTTGTATATTTGTCAACCAAGTAACCCTATTCCCGAATTATTCTTTTATTTCAGCCTTCCATAGCCATGCTCTTTCAACACACACACACACACACACACACACACGCCTAGTCCTACCAGTTTATTATATATCAAATTTGTATCCACTTATGTTACTTGTATATTTGTCAACCAAGTAACCTATTCCCGAATTATGTACATTTTCAGCCTTCCGGCAGCCATGCTCTTTCAACACACACACACACACACACACACACACACGCCTAGTCCTATAGTTTATTATATATCAAATTTGTATCACTTATGTTACTTGTATATTTGTCAACCAAGTAACCTATTCCCGAATTATGTACATTTTCAGCCTTCCGGCAGCCATGCTCTTTCAATACACACACACACACACACACTGTACCCTTCTCAGCACCTACAGTATATAGGCAGACAACCTAAAGTAAGTTTGTTAGAGAAAGGCCAGTATAGTCCCCGTGGCGGGAGATCTTCAATAAACCATAATACAAGAAGCACTTAGCTAGCAGCTGAGTACCTAGCCAGTAACCTCTGGAGTACAGTATAGTTCACTGCTGAGTACCTAGCCAGTAACCTCTGGAGTATAGTAGAGTTCACTGCTGAGTACCTAGTCAGTAACCTCTGGAGTACAGTATAGTTCACTGCTGAGTACCTAGCCAGTAACCTCTGGAGTACAGTAGAGTTCACTGCTGAGTACCTAGCCAGTAACCTCTGGAGTACAGTATAGTTCACTGCTGAGTACCTAGCCAGTAACCTCTGGAGTACAGTATAGTTCACTGCTGAGTACCTAGCCAGTAACCTCTGGGTACAGTGAGTTCACTGCTGAGTACCTAACCAGTAACCTCCTGGAGTACAAGTATAGTTCACTGCTGAGTACCCTGTCAGTAACCTCTGGAGTACAGTAAGAGTTCACTGCTGAGTGCTGCCTAGTCAGTAACCTCTGGAGTACAGTATAGTTTCCTGCTAGTACCTAGGCAGTAACCTCTGGAGTACAGTATAGTTCACTGTTGAGTACCTAGCCAGTAACCTCTGGAGTACAGTATAGTTCACTGCTGAGTACCTAGCCAGTAACCTCTGGAGTACAGTAGAGTTCACTGCTGAGTACCTAGTCAGTAACCTCCGGAGTACAGTATAGTTCACTGCTGAGTACCTAGCCAGTAACCTCTGGAATACAGTATAGTTCACTGCTGAGTACCTAGGCAGTAACCTCTGGAGTACAGTATAGTTAACTGCTGAGTACCTAGCCAGTAACCTCTGCAGTACAGTATAGTTCACTGCTGAGTGCCTACCCAGTAACCTCTGGAGTACAGTATAGTTCACTGCTGAGTACAAAGTCAGTAACCGCTGGAGTACAGTATAGTTCACTGCTGAGTACCTAGCCAGTAACCTCTGGAGTACAGTATAGTTCGCCGCACAATTGCCTAGCCAGTAACCTCTGGAGTACAGTATAGTTCACTGCTGATACCCTGGCCGTAACCTCCCAGAGGTACATTATAGTTCTACTTTACTGAGTACTAATGATAACGCAGAGTACAGTATAATTGCTGCAGTACCTATTATTAACCTCTGGAGTACAGTATAGTTCACTGCTGAGTACCTAGCCAGTAACCTCTAGATACAGTATAGTTGCACCACTGAGTACTAACCCAGTAACCTCTGAGTACAGTATGGTTGTTCACTGCTGAGTACCCTGGCCAGTAACCTCGAGAGTACCAAGTATAGTTCACTGCTGAGTACCTAGCCAGTAACCTCTGGAGTACAGTATAGTTCACTGCTGAGTACCTAGCCAGTAACCTCTGGAGTACAGTATAGTTCACTGCTGAGTACGGAGCCTGTAACCCTTGAAGTAAAGTAGAGTTCACTGATGAGTACGTAGCCAGTAACCTCTGGAGTACAGTATAGTTCACTGCTGAGTACCTAGCCAGTAACCTCTGGAGTACAGTATAGTTCACTGCTGAGTGCCTAGCCATTAACCTCTGGAGTACAGTATAGTTCACTGCTGAGTGCCTAGCCATTAACCTCTGGAGTACAGTATAGTTCACTGCTGAGTACCTAGCCAGTAACCTCTGGAGTACAGTATAGTTCACTGCGAGTGCCTAGCCATTAACCTCTGGAGTACAGTATGGTTCACTGCTGAGTACCTAGCCATTAACCTCTGGAGTACAGTATGGTTCACTAGTGATGTTATGGGTTATTTGTAAAGTCTAAGCGTGGATGTTATATAAGGTCATATTATATTGTGTTTCATATAATTCTTCCCGTAGAGTTCGATATCTTCACATTGGTTACTTACAGGAGATTATGGTCTTTGTACGTAGAAATTCACTCCACCACTCGACATTCCATGATTTATACTTGATAAATGATGATTTAATGAGTTTCATTAATTCCAACATCCATCTAAGTTAGTGGTTATACTTTGTCATAACCAATCAGTCATTACCTTTAGTAATAATAAGATAGGATCACAGATACGGGCAGATAATTGCACTTACGTTTATTTGGCACAATTCCATACACTGGACTTATAATTTGCATGGATAGGTCAGTCACTCACATTCACGCCACAGTACCGTAAGTTATAAGGGAGAGTTTGTCAACCTGAAGAATTAATCGTTAGACCTATTAGGCCGGCCTGGAGTGCTCTTGTAGCAAACAGGCCCTCACCAGGATGCGTTAACTTTCGCTGGACTAAACAACAATCTCGGGATTTTCCACACACAGACTCGTAGCACTGGTAGGACTGTATGGCCCCTGTTCTAATGTAAGTCCGCGGAGCAGGAGGTCTTCTCTCACCCAAGGTCTAAAGCCCACTGCTAAAATGTGGCTTTGAGGCGTGAGATGACCCCTATGGGCTGGCCGGGTACCTTTTCTCTACCTAAACAAACATTTGGGATGGGTTGTGCGGGAGGCCCAGCGCAACCCATGACACTCCTACTATACTTTTTCTATATCTTCATAATGGTAATAGTATCCATTACAATGGTGTCAAAGGGTCCCATTGAAATTGTGTTAAAAGCAGTCATTACACCAACCACCACACTACCACCCTCCCTCCCCAGCCACCACATTACCACCCTTCCCCCCCACCCACCACACTACCACCCTCCCTCCCCAACCACCACACTACCACCCTCCCTCCCCAACCACCACTCCACCCCTCCTCCCCCCTCCACCCACACCCACCACCCACCTCCCCAGCCACCACACTACCACCCTCCTCCCCACCTCCCACCCTCCCTCCCACACCTACCTCCCCTCCTCCCCACCCACCCCTCCCCACCACCACTCCCTCCCCAGCCACCACACTACCCACCCTCCCTCCCCAACCACCACACCACCCACCCTCCCTCCCCATCCACACACTACCACCCTCCTCCCACCACACTACCACCCTCCCTCCCCCACCACACCACCACCTCCTCCCACCCACCACTCCCTCCCTCCCCAACCACCACACTACCACCCTCCCTGCCTCCTCCCCATCCACCCTGCCACCCTCCTCCCCACCACCCTACCACCCTCCTCCCCAACCACCACCACACACCACCACTAACCACCCTCCCTCCCCAACCACTACTGCCACTCCTCCCATCCACCACACCTCCACCCTCCCTCCCCAACCACCTGCCTCCCTCCCCACCTACACCCTCCCTCCCCATCACCACCCTCTCCCCTCCACCCAGCCACCACACACCACCCTCCCTCCCCAGCCACCACACTACCCTCCCTCCCCAACCACCACACTACCACCACTCCTCCCCCCACCACCCAGCCACCACTACCTCCCTCACCACCACACTACCACCACTACCCCTCCCCAGCCACCACACTACCACCCTCTCCACCACCCCTCCCCAACCACCACACTACCACCCTCCTCCCCAACCACCACACACCCTCCCCAGCCACCACACTCCCCCCTCCCCAACCACCACACTACCACCCCTCCCTACCCATCCACCACACACCTCCCTCCCCAACACCACACTACCATCCTCCCCAGCCACCACTACCTCCCCCCAGCCACCACACACCACCCTCCCTCCCCAACCACCACACCACCCTCCTCCCCATACCACCTCCTCCCCACACCACCCTCCCTCACTCCTCCCTCCCCATACCCAGCCACTATTACCCTTCCTTCCCTCCCTCCCTCCTGCCCTCTCGCCCAATCAGTAGCTTAATATCCCCAAGTAAAGGTAATGTAAAGAATAAAAATTAAAGATAAAATAATGAAGCGATTAATTAAAAATTTCATGTTCGACTAAAAGGACTTAACAGCGTGTGTGTCAGACATTACCCGCAGGTCCTCTATTATGTTGCTCTGACCAAACACACGACACAAAATATCAACAGAGTGTATTGACCCAAGGATCCTATCCACGAATATTGCCCCGCCTGCCTTTGATCCGAGTATACTTCTCCCGGAAATATTATATGAGAAACTCTGGTCTGGAAACTTGTAATTCATTATTGATTATAGTCACATTATAGGCACCTTATATGAGGCCTATTGTTCAGATGTGCTTCTCTCTATATGTTAGACCTGGATAATTATCACACACACACACCTCATATACTAATGTGGTCAAAATATGGCTCCAATGAATTACCATTTTCCACTTTTTTTGTAAGAATATGGTTCTGAAACATTAGCTCTAATAACATTATTAAGAATATGGCTCGGGACCATCATCCTCTGAAATATTATTTTCGGCATTTGGAAGAATACGTATTGAATTTGTTTACTTTTGTGGACCTACAGGCTCTGCAGAGGTTTGGGCGGAGAGCGACGTGGCGGAGTCTTCGTCGTCAGGAGGAGGAGACTGGGGTGTGGCCGAGGAACACGAGCGGGAAGAAGATGACGTGTGGGCGGCGGCTCTCACTCTCAACACGGCGGGGCCTTCAGAGCTGCATGTCCAGAATAACACAAAGGTTTTTGCACAGGTGGGCGGCGAGGCCACCTTCACCTGTTTTACTCACCACCTATCTGACGAAATGGTAAGTGAACCTCTGTTACCTGTAGCCCAACCTTACTATTACCGCTGTACTTAAATTTCTTATAACCTACACACTACTACTACTACTTTGCTGTCACTCAGAAGCGAGCATAAGGATCATCCAGCTATGATACAATGATATGAGTTGTTAAGCATGTCACCTTCAGTGGTTAGCTCTGAGGAGAATCGAGAGGCCGATACGGGACCAACAAGGTCGTCGACAGATGATGCACGTGTGGAGGGCTACATCTAGTCCGGGAGGGGCAGCGGCAGCGTCTTTCCGGCGTTGGCGCTTGTCTGCTTCGGTATGTAATCAGGCTAACTCGAAATTATAGACACCTCTCGTGTGGTGCTCCTCCAAGCGTTAATATCCTCGAATTTTAACAATTTCAATTTAGCAAATATTTCGTTAGTGTGACCATTTTCTTTTCAAGTAGGTCATTGTCCGCACAACTCTCTTCTGTGCAGTAATCTGGGGTTGTGATTTTGAAGAGCCAGAGGCCCCCCTTAATATGTGACAGTGTATCAAGTGTTGGTAAACAATATCATAATAAATTTCTTTCATTGCTGCAAGAGTGAGTGACTGACGAGTGTGTTACAGGATACTGCACTGTTTATTGACTTTTCTGTGAATGGCTTATATGTGGTTTCTCCAGCTAAGTTTATCAACAATAACCCCAAGGAATTTAGTATTTTGTTCACGTTTGAGGACTGTATTACTAAGGTACAGGGGGTTCAGATCAGGGGGTAGGTTTTTCCTTCTGTGAAAGATTGTGTAGTGATTTTTTTCTCGAGGTTTAAGGTCAGTTTATTACGTATTAATAATAATGGTTGACCCTCGAAGTCGAGGATGGCCGGAGGATGGCCAGTCCTAGGGCCACCTAGGCGTGGATTTGTTCAAGGTGTAGAAGCTGTCGCCAACACAACAACCACACCCTAAGTTAACGAGGTGCCTGACCCGGTGTCAAGGAATAGTCCGATAAGACCGGATAACTCGCCAAGTGCAACTAAGTAACCATTACCCTGGAACACGATCCGCAAATCTATTAACATCCAGGTCCCTAATTATTGCTGTGGAGACAAGGGCAAATGGCGTAAAGAAACTTGCCCATAGTTTCACCCAGCCCGGGGATCGAATCCGAGTCCACTCGCAAGCTGACCCCGTCGCCATGCGTATTACCCAGGTCCTGATTTTAGTCAATTCATTGTTCATAGTTCTCATCAAGGGATGGAAATCTGAGTTACTGGCATAGAGATTGCTACCGTCTGCAAATAAGTTTCATTTTATGATTGTGCTGGAGTGAACTATATAGTTTATGTACAATAAGAATAGTACAGGATCTAGAATGGAGCCTTGAGGGACGCCATACGAAATTGGTGAGGAGTCAGATTGATGATTATGGGATAAGCCCCTAACGCTGTAATGTTCAAGCTTTGACAAGAGGATGGTATGGTCGATAGTATAAAAGGCTTTAGAGAGGTCCAGGAATATTCCGACTGTGAACCAACTGTCATCAAAGGAGTTTAAGATGTAATAAGTAAAGGGAAGCAGAGCACTCTCGGTTTACCTTCTAGCTCTTAATTCAAACTGAGAGTCTGTAAGGATGCTATTAACACTGCAAAAGGAATTTAGTCTAATACTTGCTACCTTCTCCAGTATCTTACTTAAGGCTGGGCAGAGTGATATGGGGCGGTAATTCTTAAAAGTACCTTTATCCCCAGATTTTTTTATATGCTGGGTTAACTTTAGTTATTTTCAGTTTATCCCGAAAGTCACCACTCATGTCTCTCTTGTTCATATATATATTCCCACGGTCTCGTGTCTCTCTTGTTCTTATATATAATCCCACGGTCTCATGTCTCTCTTGTTCTCCTATATGATCCCACGGTCTCATGTCTCTCTTGTTCTTATATATATTCCCACGGTCTCATGTCTCTCTGTTTCATATATATCCACGGTCTCATGTCTCTTTGCTCTCCCAGGTGATCCCATTTGTCTCAGGTCTCTTTGCTCTTATATATATTCCCACGGTCTCGTGTCTCTCTTGTTCTTATATACGAGTATAATCCCACGGTCTCGTGTCTCTCTTGTTCTTATATACGAGTATAATCCCACGGTCTCGTGTCTCTCTTGCTCTCCTATATGATCCCACGGTTTCATGTCTCTTTTGTTCTTATATGTGAATCTGTAGTCTCATGTCTCTCTCGTTCTGTTTGGTCACCTACTCCAATGTTTTGTTTATATCGAGCAAAGAATGGTAGCGCTTTTTCCGGAGATGAATTGTGCCGCCATAGTTCTTTGTTAAGGTATCACCATCACCTTTACCTTCTTACCTCACCTTTGATTATCACCCACCTGATTACACACAAACTTCTGTACTGATAAAACCTAAGCAGTATACACGTGCAACGTGAATTTGTAGGCAGGAAAATTCTGTTTAGGTGCAAACCCGTTTTCACTTATTGTGCAAAATGGTGTTATTTTCAAGTTCAATAAAACAAATACAATATGACACATATTGCACACTGATGCGCCAACAAAAATATTGGTAAAATGTTTCGTCCAATGAGCAAAACTCCGAGTATTATTCATTTATTTGTTCCATGTTAATTTTCAACACACACACACACGTATATATATATATATATATATATATATATATATATATATATATATATATATATATATATATATATATATATATATATATATATATATATATATATATATATATATATATATATATATACACAGTGTTGTACGCGTCAACGAAACAAAGTGACGCCGCCAGCGTCAGCGTACAAATGTAACCCCGAAACGTGTATTCTCCTGTGTATGGGAGTAACATATGCAAAACCAAAAACATATTCATTCATTTTTAATCATTTATTATGATTTATATAATATCATGTTCATTTTTCATTTGTTCCCCCGCGAGAATACTAGCATCTCAAAATGCGTGTCGCTCATTCTGCTGCGCTTGGGCCTCAAGACGTCCTTGCCCATGGAGGACATGCGCTCCATGGCAGCAGTAGAGGGGATGGGGGGTGTTGTATTTGATGAACAACTCCCTGGGTCTAATCTCATTAAACATACCGAATCAGTCAACATGAATTTGAGTAATGGTATGTACAAGCTGGATAATTTTCCTAATTAAGAAGATTTGTAACCAGGTGAGAAGGTTGGGTCAGCTTACCCTCTGACCTGACTACCGACTGCTGCGGTGCTTTTTGAAGATTAGTAGGGTTATTACCTAATACCTGACCATTGTGGACTTTATCTCACCCTCCTCTGTATATATATATACCTTGTTTTGTACTTCTCCTTAGTCTGTACTCACCCTTGAAGATGTGAATTACACGAAAGCGCTTGGGAACTTCGTGTTTTCTTCTTTCCTTGTGGTTATCAGCATATACCTGGATCACGCGCACCTACAGTGGTTTACTTGCATATATACTTTTAACAACTAATATATATTTTCGCTTCATTTTTATAACTCATTATAAATATTTTTTGCATTACTCTGTGAGTGGGCAACGTAGTGAGTCTTTATACAGTGAGTGAAGTGATAAATAGTCCTATATATGGACCCTCTTCCAAAATTTTTGGTTATCAAACAGGAAATTAGTGACTCAGACTCTGATATCCAGTCACCTAATAATTCCCAGGAACTAGTGGCAACTGATAGTGAGGAAGAATTACCACAAATTAGCCAAATAGAGTTAACACCAACCGCCTCATTAACTACCTGTGAAAGTTTCATAGATTCTCAGTTCGAGGATTTACACAGTAGACAATTAAGGTCAGGTAACAGTTATCCATTACCTTCACCTGTTACTAACACTAGTGCTTTAACTAACACAATAAAAATGGCAACAGGTGGTTCTACTAACCCACAGACTGCATCGGCCTGTCAAACGGTAAAGGTACTTCCAACTAACAGTAAGGTACAAGAGTTTACTGCCGAGGATCCTGATTATACTAGTTTAGCATTTTTGCATAAATTCGAAGATGTAATGAGCAATAACAATGTCACTAATGACGTAGATAAAATTTCATAAGTCCGAAGCCTTATCAAAACCGATATTCGGGCAGCTAGAGGTATCCATGCTTCAGCCATTGACGAAGAAACGGATGATTATCCAACATTTAGGCAGCAATTTATTAATTTTTTGGGATCGGGCAGAGAGGACAGGTGACACTGCTTGCACATGAAGCACAAGAAGCCCAAATTTGTGCGGGTCTCACTAAGATAGATCTCACATCTTGCATGGATTCCTCAGATTGGTTCGATAAAAATGACAACTTCTCTTAAGTAAATTTCTACAGGATTATTGAATTCCTTCAGTATATCTTGTCATCAAATGAACCCTTACGCACGAAAGCCCAAAAGAAAGAGCTTAAAAAAGGGACAAAACTTGTACAATATGTAGAAGAAATTGCGGAACCCAAGGAAAATATTCCTAGGGTGATGTCAGTGGTACCAGTCACTAGCTTCAAGGAACAACCACAGTCTGTCATGGGAACCAGACAAAAAAAGGATCGAAGGAAAGAAACCTCGCAGGACCTTTGGCTTTCAAATAGCCCTGCGAAACCAAAAACTCCAAAGGGACATTACACAGGAAATAAAATGTCTCCAAACATTAAAGGCACTCCGAATAAATGGTGTATAGTACATCAGTCTCCATACCATAGCACAGAAGATTGTGGAAATGTACAACGTAAGAAGCAAGAAAATGAAAATCGACGGGAGACAACTATACAACCTTCGGGGGAAGAGGAGCGCCTCCAGCAACACGATCTAGGATAGCATCAACGGTTCAAGAAAACAACGCTTCCATCACCGGCTCATTAATCGTCGCGTTAAACAAAGTGAAGGTGTTGACCGTACCAGCGAGGATAGGTATAGATACAGGGGCCTGTGCCAATGTTATCTCATTAAAGTCGTTCAATGAACTCCAGCGGCGATATCCTCCAAATAAGTGGCCAATAAAACCTAC